TTTATTTATATATTTTTTAATTTAATTAATCATTTATTTTAATCAATAATTCGTTTTAATGATTCATTGATTTGAATTTATTATTATTTCTAATTATCCATTAATTTGAACCCATCTAGAGGTAAGGTAAGCTACCAAACTTCCCGCTTTCTATTCTAATTTATCATTAAAATTATGGCATTTCTGTTTAAGTTCTAAACGCACTATATTAAGTGCTATACTGACTATACTAAGCATAAATGATAAGTTATATTCAGAGATCGAACCTAAAGATATTTCAATCTAAGAGTCATAGGAGATATGAGCTCTTAAAGGTATTTGAGCGCCTTCCACAATTCTCAATTTATTCTGCTGCAAATTCGATTTCAGACCAAACTTATTCCAAGCTTCTCTAACCGGTTCTCTCTCCATATGAAGTAAACACAGATTTAAGCCAATTGAGATTACGTTGAACTCTTCGCTGACTTACCGTGCTGGCTGCTGTGCTGGAGCTGGTGGCAGTTGTAGGCGCTGCTGTTGTTGTTGTCGTTGTGGTGGACAGTGTGGTTGTGGTGGTTGGCTGTGTGGTGCTGGCAACAGGTGCGACAGCCGCAATGCCAGTGCCTGTGCTTGAGCCCGTCTCAAACTCCACCGAGTCGGGCGAGGAGGGGAACGTGGGCTTTAGATTGTCGGCCAGGCCAACGGGGCCACGGAGCGCCGCATCGGCTATTTCGGGGCAGCTTAGCTCCTCCGGCTGTATGGAGTAGAAGCCGCGATCGCGAAAACGCGGCGGTGTACCACAGAATTGGGGATTGCGCTCGCGCGAGGTGACCTAATTAAGGATTGAGGAGAAGCATTGATAAGACGTCAATTCAGTAATTCAAGGGTCTTTGACTTTCGGTCAACTCACCTGTAAATCACCGTTGCGTATCCATTCGGCCACCCAGCGCAGCTTGCAATCGCAGTGCAGGAATCGTCCGCCCAAGGACAGGCCACGCAGCGTTGCATTCAAATGGGCAAATGCCCCCTCCGGCACCGTGCTGAGTGGATTGCCGTCGAGGGCCAGCAGTGTAATGCTCGGATTGCCACGAAAAGCCGCCTCCGGCAGTGTGGTGAGCAAATTGAAACCGATGTCCAGCACGCGCAGCTCCTTCAGCGAGTGCACAGCGCCAATTGGAAACTCCGACAGCAAATTGTTGAGTAAACTAAGTGAGCTGAGAGTTTTGCGTACGCCAGCGAAGGCCGTTTCGCCAATGCTCTGGATCAGATTACGTTCCATATTTAGGGCCGTTAGGGAATCCAGGCCATCGAAGACGCGTATGCCACCGGCACCGGGCAGCTCCTTAATGCCATTCTGCGACAGATCCAGAAAAGCCAAGCTCTTTAGTCCCCTGATGCACTCGGGCACGCGACGTTGACGGGTGCCCTTCAAATTCAAATTCTTTAAACTCTGCTCGAGGCCACGGAAAGCATTCGCTGCCAGAGTCACATTGTTGTCATTCAGCTTGAGCGTGGAGAGCTTATTCAAGCCAGCAAAGGCATCGTCTGGTATTGTGGAGAGCTGATTGCGCGACAGATCGAGTAGGTTGAGCTTGGTCAGCACTTGGAGTGCCTTCACGGGCACCTCGCTCAGCAGATTGTCCTGCAGATTGAGGTTCTTCAGCACCGACTCCTGGCCCTTGAAGGCGCCATTCGAGATGCGCTTGATGCCACAGCTAGACAGCTGCACATTGTGCAGGCTCAGGTTGCTGAAGATCTCGTCTGGCAGCTCCTCAATGGTCGCGTTGTTCACGTACAGCAAATCGACGGGCTTCAGTCTCGCATATTTGTTCATTGCCTCCAGCAATTGCGAGAACTCGACCTGAAGTTAAGCGAAATTGTTTGGTAATGGTTTAATATATTGGTATATATAATCGAGATTTCAATTTTATAATCTTGATGTTTGTTTTAATAATATTTCTTTATTCAATTTTTAACATTATTTACTAGATAAAAGGCAGTAATATTTATCAGGAATACAGCTGTTAAAATAGCATAACATTTTCATTTAAATGTTGCTTCTAAGAGTTTAACAGGAACATTTACCATGAACATTGCAGACCATAGTTTTGTTAATTTCATTATTTCATCTCATTATATACGTATCTCGTGGAAATAATAAGATCGGAAATCCCGATATATTTACTATTGTATATAACATGTTATCAGGACCATTTACCATGAAGATTTTTTGAACAAAATTTTGCTTTTGTTGTTTTTCAAGTAAATAATTAAGTTTTTTAACTAACTTTGTAATCATTATTACGAATGTGCCTAAATTTACCAGGAACTTTGCTGTGAACATGAAAACGTTAAAAATAATTTTTTTTTTTTTTTAAATTTGATTTTTTAATCTGTCCTTGGATGATTCTGAGTGAAATTTGATTTTACAAAGTATAAACCCAACTAATCAAATAGGTTTGGAATAAACTTGTCCATTTATATATTATAAAATTCTCTAATCTCTCTCTCTCTCTCAGAGGTAGCCCTTTTTTCTCTGTCTCACTCTCGCTCTTTTTTTCTCTCCCAGTCTCTCTTTCTTTCTCTCATAATTTAATTTGTCTTATCTCACCTGATCGCATTGTACGCTCAGCTCTCGTCCCAGATTATAGGCACAGATGCAGCTCGTCTGTAGATCGGGCAGATCTCGCTGCCAGGGACATTGAGCGCGGCTCTGACTGCTGCCAGCTAAAAGTAAAATGAGCGACGATAGCCAAAGTTGTTGATTTGTGGGCGTGGTCGCTGTTTGAGTGCTGCTGCGTTTCATCTTGTCGCCGGCATAGAGCTAAAAGACAAAGAGAGAGAAGTTGAAAGCTTAATTAAGCAGAAATCTTAGGCGAAGCTTAGATAAAAGTCTTTGAATAGTTTTAGTTTTTATATAATTTTAATTATTTCTAAATAGAGCTGGAGCCAGCTGGTTATTTTGATGGAATAGCTGGCTTTATCAATCACTTGTCCAGCTGCTTTCAATTTAAATTTTTTCTTCGAGCTCGTTGAACAACAAACTGTGCGTGAAGTGAGAGTGTCACCTACGCAAAGCTACACTGCCCCAGCCCCTCTTAGGTTGCCTGCTTGCCCAGATTGCCCATCATGCTCATCATTCTCTCTTGTTGATCCTTTGGCAGTTCGGTTTGATTAATTTGCCTGTCTGCTCGGGTCTAGGGGTCCGTCAAGCCGTGCTGGCCATAAAAAAAGGGAAGAGAGGCATAAAAATATCAGCATAGGGCGAGGCAACAATAAGCCTGCATCCCTTTTTAGCAGCAACAAAATCGGACATTTAATTTAATTTGCCAAACGCGACAGGCAAGTAATAAAAAAAAAAAAAAAAAAAAAAAAAGAAAGAAGGAGAATGAAGAGCAGGGAGAGAGAAGAGACGCAACCAGAAACAGTGAAGCGAGCTGAGACCCACTGCCACACTGTCCCTTGACGGCAGTCAAAGCTGTTGACCTTTTTGCATAATCATGAATTATGGCCACGCTCAATCGTCAGCCCCTTCGCAGCCTTTGGGCTACGTTTCTAAGGTGTCTCTATTTGTGGCCACATGGGAGTTTGTGCCATTGTTTGGTGGCAGCTACTTGAGCTAAGACGAATTGAATGCGCTTTAGTTAAGCGTTGCGTATACGCACCGTTGAGCATTTGCATGACATAATGATAGCTTGTTAATGTACTTTGTTTTATGAACAGGTGGGTTACCTGTGCCTAAAGTAGACCTACGCTTAGCCCTAAATTTAATTGCATGCTTATACATACAAATGTTTTCTTATTGTTCTATTGAATTTAGAGCATGGGAATCTGGTCAGATTCTCAGCAAAATTTCGTGAGCTACATTTAATCTGGTCACGCTTGCATCTTATATAACGATTATTATTTATATACGTCTATATATTTTGCTTTATATAAGCATAAAAGAAGTCCTGAGTGCAGCTAATATTCATATTGATTGATGGTTGTATCTGATTCAGATTTTGACTCAATTTAAGTCTCAATTTAAATCTAAATCAATCTCAGTTTCAGTTACAGTCTCATTCTTAGTCTTAGCTTCACCTTCAGTAAGTCTCAGTCTCAATTTTTATCTTAATCTTTATCTTAGCCTTACTCATTCTCAATATCAATCTCAGTTTCACTCTTACTCTCACTTAGTTTCAATCTCAAACTGTCTCAATCTCAGCTTCTCTCTTACTCTCAATTAGTTTCAATCTAAATCTGTTTCAGTCTCAGTCTCAATCTCAGCTTCACTCTCACTCAGACAATCTATCTCAGTCTCAGTATCAGTTTCACTCTCAATTATTTTCAATCTCAGTTTTCAATCTCAATCGTAATCTCAGTCTCAATCTCAGCTTCTGCTTACTCAAAGTTCATTGCATTTTCAGTTGAATTTCGTTCATCAGCCGAAACTTTCAATTTCAATTGCATTATTTAAAGGCAAAAGTAAAAGTAAAATCAAAGCAGCAATCAGGCTACCTCTACAAATGAAGCTATTCCCGCTGCACAGTTCCCTCTTCGCTCTCCGTTGTTAATCAAATGTAACGCTTCATTGATTTGTTTTAGAGCCACGAAGCCGCAAAGTAAATAATAATAATAATAAAACTAAATAAATTAAGTCGCACGCTTCGCTCGCTCGCTCACTCACTCTCCGATAATAATCAACATTTTGTCTTTTGATTGATAGTTTTTACAGCACCTGATTTTTTCTGCTTCTGCCTCGTCTTCTTCTTCTTCTCCGTCTTTTCACTTCGTTTGCCCTGCGGCTCAAAATGTCGTTTCGCTTGATTTGATTTTTCATGCAATTTGCCTCGTTTTTCTTTCCTTCTCAGCTTTTCATTGTAGTCGTCTTCCTTATGTTTTGTCATATTCAAGTCTAAATTGCATTACGTGGCCAACAAATACTTTGCGCTTGAGCGTACATTCCATTTGCCACGGCCCTGCAGCCCCACAGCAGTGGCTTCATTCAGCGCTCATTTCTCACTCAACTGTCCGGCCGCAAAATTTAATTAAAAAATTCTTGCAACCATTTATTTTTTTTCAGGCTGTTTTTTCTTGCAGCTTATTTTCCCCGCCACTCGCATTAATTGCATCACAAAAATGTTTAATGCGCGAAAGTGCGAAAATTGCAAGACACCAAAAGCTCAGAATGAAAAACGAATCAAGTACAGTTGTGCTGCAAAGTTTGAGCTCACTCAATAACGCAAAGTAGATAAAGGAAAAGAACTTTTCTAAGGGCTAATATCGACTGCACAATACTCGCTCAGGCTTTAGAGCAGAGCATGTTCGATATAAATTAGAAATTCTATTAAATAATTTGTCGTTCCTTTAATGTAAATAAAACTCGAGCTTAAGGGAATTTGATTATTTTTTAGAAATCAGGGTATAATATATATCGTATATTTAAAGTAGATACTTGATGATATAAGACATCACAAAAATATGTAAGCCTTTTTCGGGTTTCTTTAGAGGTTATACATTCTGTTATTCTATTATTTTACCCTAATTTATTTAAGGACATTTTTAAATTTATAATATGATTCGATTATTTAACATAATAAAAGACGAATTTTAGTAATATATCATATAGACATAGAATTAAATATTGATCTATTATATATTTTTGTATCTTCTCTAAAAGAGGTTTTGTTTTCTTCACCTATAGTAAATACTCTTAATAGGTCTCCCTCTTTTAAGAATAATTATTCTAAGCTTCAAAGTTCCTGCATACCAAAACCCCATATACTCCTTTTCATTTCCATAAAACTAATTTTTTTCTCACCCCAATTGGAGGTGTAAATTTTCCTTTTTTGTTGTTTACTTTTTTGCCGCATAATTATTCACTTTATGTCTTTTTTGTTGGTCGAATTTGCATTTTAGACAATGGCCGGCCCAGAGTCCACAATTTTTTGTTGTATTTTTGCGTCTCTTTCTTCATCTATTTCGGGGACAGCTTACAAACAATTTTTCCCTTAGGGCGCTGAGCCACACTTAAAGCGAGATTTAATTGAAGTTGTTCAACAATGTGAGTGGGCGTGGCTGTGCGACCGCATGATAATGCTGTTAAGCATTTAAGTGGATTAGAATTTTGCAGGTGCAAAAAAAAGTTGTGTTAGTGTGCGAGATGAAAAGTTGTCAATTGAAAAGTTTCCAAAAAATGAGAAGTAGTGAGAAGAAGTGAGAGTGGGGAGCATACATCATGTATGTATGTATGCTTTTGGGTGGCAGTGTGAAAGTGTTAGCTGTGCTTATCTTGTGGGTCATTGCTCGCATTAAAATCGAAAAAAGGTAAATGAAAATCAAACTTTGTTCCAGTCGCCTACCTAAAAGTTGAGCTTGCCCAGCTTAAAGTGTGAAAAAAATTAAGGCCAATTGCCATTGCCAGACTCTCGTTAAGTTTTTGTGCAGTTTTAATAAAAAAAAACTGAACTGTTAACACAATTACTTATCAGGCCAAAGCGAAAATAACTTGTACACCTGATAAAGAGCATAGATCAAAGTAGCAGCTCTTTGAGCTCTTACAAATTGTCTAAGGCTGTGATTATAAAACTGTAAGATTTGTGCTCAAACTACTTAATAATCACTACGATAATCCAAAAAAAAATAATTGTTCTATAAATAATTAATAACAAGCCGTAGCTCTTATCCGTCAATGAAAAAAAAAAACAGCTTAGATTATTGATTTCCTAAATAAACAAAAGTGTTGAGCCCGCTAAAAAAAAAAGACGCTTTGTTTCCAGATCCAGATAAGATAATCCGAAAGAGCGACAAATTATTGTGGCCGATTAAATAAAATAAAAATCTTATTAATCTTATCTTATTAAAACATAGAATGATTAGCTAGAGCTTGATTGATAGAGGTAGAAGATTTATAAAATTATTTTCTTTAATCAAATTTTGAAATCGTTTTAAGAAGTTCAAATGGTTCTTAGCGCCACTGCTAAAAAGTGTTGGGAAAAAAAAAAATGTTGTTAGGCAAATAAAATCCAGCAAAAATAATTCAAGTTATACAAAGAAAAAAAAAAAAGATTTAAGTACAAATTTGTTGGAATTCTCAACTTAACATATCTATATCTATTTGGCTTAACGATTATGAATCAATAAAATGCTCTTGAAAATAAGATCTATTTCATGATCCGATCTATGTGTATGTACGACTAGCATATGTCATAGGTTAAAATCTGACTGACACACACGGCATTGGCTTCGTCGAAGAAGAAATTACCGCAGCTCCTCTCGTCCAGAGTTCGACCGTTGGTGCAGCGCAGATAGTGACGACAGCCCTTGGTGGAGCTGAGCACAAAGGGTAGGGTGCGACCCTGGCAACGATCCTCGGAGCAGGCTACCTTATTGGGTTCAATGCAGCTCTGACTATTTTTATCAAAGAACAAATCATCCTTGCACCTGGCCCACGTGGGATTCTCATCGGGCGTGTTCGGTCCCTTGTCGGCACAGATGAAATAACCGTGACAGGTGGCGCCATCGGGCACCAAGGTATTCGGCTTCGGACTCTTCGTTGTGCCGCACACATTCGCCGGCAGGGGATGGGCATCGCAGTTGACCAGAGTCTTGGCCACACACTCTCCGGTGCGTCTCTGATAGTAGCCCGATTTGCAGGTCTTGTCCTCCAGCTTGCCCTTGGTGCACACATAGTAGCGATTGCAGCCGAGCGTATTGTCAAAGTTCACGCCGTTCTTGATGATGCTGCAGTAGTCGAATTTGCTTGAGTGGCACTCGGAGGCAGTGCTCCAGATGCACTCCTGAATGGCCTCATTGAAGTGCGTGGCGTCCGGGCAGGTGCCATAGACAGGTGTCTGCTCATCTATGCAGTAATAGTAGCCGAAGCACGACTTTGGATCTCTCACAAAGCGAGTCGCCGCATTCTCACACGAAATATTACAATTTTCCGTATCCGGCAATGTCTTGACACACTTCAGCGTGTCCTTGTCGAAGAACGGAGTTGGACTCTTGCAGGTGCTGTAGGTGCTCTTGCCGTCCACGCATGTGATCGAGCGACTGCACGATTCCGGATCACGTATGACCGTATTATCCGAGAACAACGTGCATATATCCTCGATGCGTTGGCCCACTGTCAAGCCACAAAGACTCAAGGCGCAAATGGAGAGCACAAGGCAACTGCCGGCTGCAAGTTCTAGAAAGTTCATAAACCCATCTAGAGATAGTATTCGTTTAGCACCCACCTTTCATTGCTAATTAACTTCTGTTCTGTTCGCTCCGCCAACTGGCTTCAAACTGATTGGCAAACTATGTCCAACCAGGATCTATATAGCATTGGCGTGCGATAAGCCAATTGAAAGTTTTCAATTCATTAGTAGAAATACCCACAGATTAGATTAACCATATCACAGTTATAAGGCGTGAACGAACTAACTCTGATTATATTTCCCTTCAGCTACACAGATGTTTTCACTTTTTACGCAAAGCGACTAATCTCATTGATAAATCAATCTGTATACCCTTTTTTTTTTTTTCTTAAGAGTATATATTTCTATCTCTATATGTACTATAGCTGACGGTCAAGCCTTATCTTTTTCTGGTAGCTGTGTAAATTCTACAAGGCTTTACGTTTTATGGTTGGCGCTTCACTGAAGCAGTATTTAATAAATTTCGACAGTTAAATTCATATTTTTCTTTACTTTGAACATTCAACTGTAATTTGTTATACATTGATTTATTTTTAGTTTTTTGAATAGGCTATAAATAATATGTTGATTAATTAATTTTTCTAACTCTAGAGCTCAGCTTAAGCTAGCGATAAATCAAATTTATGACTAAGATTTATTTGTTAATTTTGATTAAATGACTTGCTTAATCCGCTTCATTGCTAAAGAACATATTTAAGACATTTATCAACACAATTCCAAAGTGAATTGCGGACGTATCGGTACAAATTTAAAATATTATAGGATATATGTTTCAAATCTTCAATAATGGCAAAATCGAGGGACAATATACTCTCGTGACTGTGAATGAGTATGAGAAATTTTTAACAACTCAGGCGAATAATAATACAAGTCTAAACTAAACAAATTGAAAATTAAATGTTTATAGACTTGATACAAGATATATTCAAGACATATTAGAGTTAGTTGTATAATCTCTTTCAAAAAACAACTCTGAGTCAGGCTCTCTCGACTAGAACAAACTTGTTATATATGAAATTCACTTAGCTTTGCTACAATTGTTATCAGATTCTTTCTCGGTCTATTCTTAAAGCTCTTTGAGTTGAACTTAATAGAACAACTAGGCTATATTTAGCTAACATGGCCATTAGTTCAACTAGTTGTTATCTATTTAATTGAAAGCCTCTTAAATGCCAAATAGCAAAACTAGAAGAAGACCAAATATATATTTTATTTGGTAGACATTTTTGTCACAGTCTCTTAACTCTCAGAGGAGTCTTAAAGGCAATGGCCATTGGCTCTGGCTCTGTGCGTTATATATTTATATGGGTCAGAAATAAATAGAACTATAAAGTGACTTGGCCGAAAAAAAAAAAAAAAAAACAACAAAATAAAAACATGTGAAAACAAATTATTTGGCCAACTTGTGTGCGTGCGTGTGTGTGTGTGTGTGTTTTGGCCACAAAAACTAAAATGTTACGTTTGGCCATTTATTTGGTCAGTTTATGGCTGGGCGTTTCGAGCCTCTTGCCAATTAATGATGTGCTGCGCTTTAACTTGGCCAAGACCAGAAGCAGAGGCAGCTAGCCATGGTGTGGTCGAAACGTTTGTCAATTGCTTTTTAGCTGCTTTAGAAAGCTTTTAAGCAGCTGCTGCCCGCTGCCTGCTGCATATCCAGGCCAAAACTCATAAGCAAACTTTATGCAAATGCACAAACAACTGCAGAGGGCCAGAGCACGAGGGGGTGAAGAGTGGCAAAGTGGCTGGCTGGTACAAGCCCCATTTGCTGGACACATCCGCTACTGGCCAAATAAGTCAGTTCCGCCCGCTGTCCACGCTGTGCAGCAACACACATAACGGTTCAGACACTGTTTTGTTGTGATACACACACACACCGACACCCCGAGAGCGAGGTTCAATAAACTCTTTGGTGACATGACTCATGGGAACAGCAATGGCAACAGCAGAGACTCCTGCTTCTTCTTCTTCTTCTTCAACTGCTTCTCGCTCTTCTACTATCTACATCAACTCCTTCTCATTTGCTATGCACCGCACAAAAGCGCTCGAAACAGCGTGAATACCAAATGCGCGCTCTTTGGGACAGTGCGTGTCATGGATCGCAGATATAGTTGGGCTCATATATATATATATATATGTATGTATGTATATGTGCGTGTATATCATATGTAGGTTGGCTTAGACACCGACAGCTGTCGCTGTCAGCCTTTATTGTCGCTTTGTTCTTGATGGCACGCAAACGAGCTTCAATGGCTATGACAAGAAAAAAAAAAACACTTCAGGGGCTATATTTATGTGATGTCTTTTGTTTAAAAAACTGCAAATTTGTATTTCTTTTTTGTTTTTTCTAAATATTATGTATATTGATACATACTAACACATCGCTTTTAAATTATGAGAAAACAAATCTAAGTTAAGAAATCAGAACTAGAAATTTATTTTGATTTTTTTCGGAAATCAAAATAACCAATCTGTATTTAAAAAATAAATAAAATTAGAAAACATTAAGAAAAACTTTTAAGAAATTAAAACACATTTTTTTAAATAAAAAATATTGTATTAAAAAATATTAAAATATATAAAAAAAAAACTTTTAAGGAATTTAAAAACCTTTTCCAAACCAAAAGCGTAAATTAATTATCTCTATGTTTATATCCGTTTTTCTTCAAGAAATGATATATACAAACGATGTATTCACCTATTCATATATATTTTTAACTCCACTTATCGAAAATTCCCAAGACCCTAACTACACGTATTATCACTTTGTTTAGTTGCCACCTAAGCAATCTCGTTGTAATAAGATGTGCAACTTTTTAGAAGACTTAGTTCGTCGTAATTTCAATTGAAAATTCGCAAAGTTTCATGGCAAACAATTTCAGCTAAATTTTATTGCATTTCAGCTGGCAAACTTTACAAAATATTTCGCTATGCTCTGTTTTATTTTAAACCAAAACAAACCAAAAATATAAATTCTCTTTGCACAGAATTGCGCCTGGTTTCCCGGATACGCGCACCTGTCTGCTGCACCAGAAGCTGCAGATGCTCAACGTTTGCGTGGAGCGACGCTTGCAGCGCGAGGCGTTTGGCAAGCGCAAACAACAGCAGACGAAGGTCACGGCCCAGCAGCAACAGAGCAAGGCGGGCGAGCAGGAGGAGGAGGAGGATGAGGATGAGGATGAGGATGATGGCGAGTTTTATGATTGTGATGAGGCAATCCCGAGCAGTGGCTCACCAACCAAAGCTGTGTTAAGCCTCAAGCCCGAGGGCCGTTTGAAGCGTTTGGGGCAGGAGCGTTTGCTAGATGAGCCGGAAGAATATCTATATGTGCCCGTAACACAGGAGCCGGTGCCCAAGACCGAGGATCAGCTGCAGGACGATGCGGAGGTAATGCTGAAACTGGGCCCCGGCTCCGGTTTGAGCACACAAATGATGTGCACTTCACTGCTCTCCGATATGGAGGCATTCAAGGCGGCCAATCCACGTGGCAGAATGGAGGACTTTATACGCTGGTACAGTCCCAAGGACTGGGAGCAGGTGGTGGACGGTGAGCAGTGGAAGCGGGGGGAATTACAATTGAGGGAGATAATAATTCATATAAATTTTGTTAGATAATGGCGAGAGCAGGCATCAGCTAAGCGTTCGCATGACCACCGAGGGGAATACCTGGCAAAAGGTTTGGGAACAGGCACAGCCGGTGCCGGTGGCCAGACAGCGCCGGCTCTTCGACGATACGAACGAGGCGCTGAAGGTGCTGCACTATCTGGAAACGCGCAATATGAGCGAGATCTACGGACTGACCATAATACCAACGCTGCACACGGCTATACTTAAGCTGATTGTAAGTAGAGATGGATATAACTAGATATACATATAAATGATTATGTCTCTCTCCCTGCCACTCTCAGGACATCTATAGCAATGCCCAAGTGCAGGATATATTTGCCAGCCACATTGAGCAGCTTCTAAATGATTTGTGCCGCCTCTCACGTTCCCATTCCAATGAGCTGCCTCAATTGGAGAGCCTGCTGCAGGAGCTCTCCGAGCTGGAGCGTCGTTTCTATCAGTTCAAGTGCTTCGAAAGACTAGCTGGCTATCCGAAGCGTAGCAATCTTCCCGAGATTAAGCGCCAGTTCGAGGAGATACTGAAGAATGACAACTGCTGCACAATAGTGGATAAGAAGCGCGGAGCTGCAGGCGATGTGCTCTGCAGTGGCGGCAGCTTGTATGAGCTGCTGAGTCCCAAACTGGAGCAGGATATCTCGAGTCGATTGATCAGCAAGGATTATGTTATACGCTTGGATGGCGATACCAAGTCTGGAGAGAAGGGTCTCTATCTGGGGCCACAATTCATGCGCGCAATTGTCACGGGCGAGAAGCTCAGACTCTGTGGAGCATTCACTGAGAGCACAGTATTTGTCTAGGTGGGAGGACGACTCAGCTGACTATATAGCCTATATATACTATATATATTATAATTACGCTATACTACTATATGAACTGTCTAACACATACTCTCTTATAGTAACTGAAGTAATTAAAAGTTAAACTCATTTAATATGCTCTTTGAATTTATCCATCACAAAAGTCAAGCTAATCTTCTCTTCAATTGTTTCAATATCTTATTTATAATTTATAAATAACTAATAGACATTCGCTTAATATAATTAATGCTGTTTGATTGTTAAGTAAGCAAGATTTATATATTTATTGCTTATATATATATTTCTAATTATGTTTGGTGCTGCGTTAAATTTAAGTCCTAAATTTCTAATAAATACCAGAAACATAATTTTGTATGAAATGCTCTTTTCGTGTGCAACCGCAATGTTTTCCTCCTATCAATATCAATTATAACAAGACAACATTTACACTTGAGTCTGAAATAAACACGTACACACCCACACACACACTCACATCACATAACCACATCTAATCACATAATCATGCTCGCTACTTCTCTCTCTCTCGCTCTCTGTTCCCTTCTCTCCACTTAACTCTCGAGTGTAGCACTTAAAGCCATTTGCAAAAACTTAACTCGAATTCAAATGTAGACAGGCA